TAAGGAAAATCAATGTTTTTGGCTTTCTCGCTTTTTCTCTTCCGATGGCCTTCGCAGGCCTCAATATGGCTCCAATATTGCCCAAGAAGGCCCCAAGAGAGGCCCAAGAGAGCCCCAAGACGGCCCCAAGAGCGCTCCAAGATCGCCTCACGATGGGCCCAAGAAGCGATTCGAGGCACTCTAGAGGGGCAGGGCTAATATACGACCCCTCCTTCTTTTATATATCTCCTCCAACATGGCGCGGCCCGAAGGCTCCCATGAGCGCCCCAAGAGCGCCCCAAGAGGGCCCCAAGAGGCCCCAAGAGGCGCCCAACAGGCCTCCAAGAGGCTCCCAAGAGACCCCCAAGAGGTCCCAAGAGGCTCCCCAAGATACGCAAGAGGCCCCCGGGACCGCCAAGAGGCCCCAAAGACGGCCCAAGAGGCGCCCAAGCTCGCCATTGTCCTCCTCCTCCTCCTCCTCCTCCTCCTCTGTTTCTTCCTCCTCCCTCCTCCCCCTCCCTCTCCTCCTCCTCCTCCTCCTCGTCTTTCTCGTCCTTCTCGTCCTCCACGTCCTCGCCCTCATCCATCTCCTCCTCCTCATCTACCTCCTCCTCCTCCTCCTCCCCCTCCTCCTCCTCCTCCTCCTCCTCCTCCTCCTCCTCCTCCTCCTCCTCCTCCTCTCCTCCGCCTCCTACTCCGACGACGACGACTCCTCCTACATCCTCCCCCTCTTGAGGTATATGGCGGCTTACCCCGCTCTCAGTTCTTCTGCATGCTCCCCCGCTTCCCTCATCACCTCCACTCCCCTGGGACTCATTTCTGGACGGGCTGGTGGGGATACGCGAAGCGTCTAGAATTCCTCTGGTCATCGTTTCTAGATGGGCTGGTGAGGTTACTTTTTGTCGCAACCGCAGGGAAGGGCGCCAGCGGCGAGTCAGATCCGAGCGGGCCGCGCAAAAGCCGAATTACCTAACGCCGACGGGCCGGCGACCTCAGCAGCGCCTCGGCGAGCGGGCCGGCGTGAGGGGGGTGGAAGTTGCAGCTGCCAGGGACCGCAGGTCCAGGGGCGCGCACGTGCAGAATTAGCCAACCATGGTTGGGGCGCAGCCAAAATGGCGCGAGGGTCGTACCAGGATGTGACCAGGGAGGCAGCCAGCCAGTACGCTGCGACGATTGCCAAGGGTGCCCAAGCTGGCCCAAAACTGGTGCATCGGGTGGCGCCACCAAAGTCGCACACCAAGTCCCCTGAGGGGAGTACTGATCCTGCAAACGACCGTCCACGGAAAGGCCCCAAGGACGGGCGAAGTAGCCAGGGGAACGATGGATGTAATCAACACCGTAAGCGCCTGAGCGACCGGATCAGGTAAAGCCACGCGCAGCTGGGTTACTTTTGGTCGGCGGCCGCTTGATAACGGTCTGGCGGCAAAGGCAATGTCCGGGGCAAACTGGTGGGGTTACGCGAAGCGTCTAGAATTTCGGTTTCGGCATTCACCACCTCCTTTTTGATCGGCACTATTTCCGTGATTTCGCCGTGTATCCGGCCCCTCCATCGCATCCAGGGCGCATCTGGCATCGAAATATGTGTAGTTACACGAGTGTGCATACATAGATCTACGCATTCTATCACCGAAACTCGGCTCCAGGACGCACGCCGCGCGGTCACGGAGCCTTTCCAGCCCGCCAGTCGGCTTCCTACATGCTTCTGAGATGCCCCCAGACCGCCCAAAGACAGCTCCAAGACAGCGCCCGACCAGTATGCCAGTGTTTGGCAAAAGCCTTGTGTGTTCCGATGCTTTGGGCGTTATTGCCTTTTCGTTCTCGATCGGCTTCTGAGACCTGAAGGTGGCCCAGAGATCGCCCGAAATCGCTCCAAGAGGAGCGTAGGATGACTCCAGGAGGGCCCCGAAGACCCCAAAAGGCGCCCGAGGAGCGCCCAGGAGGTCTCCAAGGTATGCGGTGCCCACGGGGCGCTCACGGGCTTGGCACCGGGCGAAGCCTCGGCTGAACCCACCCAGCGCACGATGCGCCCACGAGGGGCCCAAGGGGCGGCCGCCAGGCGAAAACTCGGCTGACCCGCCCAGCGCAGGAGGCGCCCACGAGGAGCCCAAGGGCCCAAGGGGCGGCCGCCAGGCGAAAACTCGGCTGACCACCCGGCGCACGAGGCGCCCATGAGGCGCCCATGAGGCGCCCACCAACCTGGCACCAGAAGCAAGAACCCCTAAGTGCAAGCCCTGTTCGGGGAATTGGCCACCTGTATGTTAGTCTGTTGTGCCACGGTCGGGCTTCTCCTCGCGTCTCTTGGAGTCTGTCCTGGAGCCTCTCTGGCCACCTTGTAAGATTTTGGCTTATGAAGAAACATCGGGGCATCTAGGATGTTTCTTGGGCCGCCTGGCACCCTCTGAACGCCCTCATGAGCTGGCTTGGACGTCCCGGGAAGGTCCCGAAGGTCCAGACTGATTTGAAACAGCTCCCTTTTCTCCTCCGCTGAGCCTTCATCTCGCGCACCGTTTTCGACCCCATCGGATCCACTTCGGGGCTGTTGTCGGGGCCTCTTGGGCCACCCCCTGGGCCGCTCTTGGAAGTTGTGGGCGCCCTCTCGGGCCCCTCCTCGCGCTGCGCTACTTGCGTCGCCCTCCACTTTCTCCACCAAGCCTCCCATCGGTCAGTCCTCGGTGTTCACACCTCGCCTCTTTTTTCCTCAACGCGGCCACACTCCCACAACGTTAGGCCGGCCGCGTCTGCTTCTCCCTCGGGGGCGCTTGTCTTCCTTTCCTCTCCTAGCGATGTCTTCCTTTCCTCTTCCAAAGCCCTCTTCCATTTGGGGAGGGGATCCCTCTGGGAGGTCCCCATGGGAGCCCTGGAGGGCCTCTTGGGGCCATCTTGGATGCCATCTGGAAAAAGGGGCGGGGTCCCCACTGTTTCTCCCCCTCGTGGGTCACCTTGGGCCGTCTTGGACGTTCTAACCGATCGCAGGCCGCCCCCGAAAAACCTCAGGGAGGGGGAGGGGGAGGGTACCCCCAAGACGGCCCCGAGACCCTCCCAGAGAGCTCCAAGAGGATCCCAAGAGGACCCCAAGATCCTCCAAAAGAGTACCAAGAGGACTCTAAGAGGCGATGTCGAGGGGTCTGTCGTCGTCCTCGTTGTCCTCCTCCTCCTCCTCCTCCTCCTCCTCCTCCTCTTCCTCGTCCTTGCCCTGATCGGGTTCCTTGTCCTTTTTCTCCTCTTTCTCGTCCTCGTCCTCGTCGTTATCGTCGTCGTCGTCGTCGTGGGCGTGGTCGTGGTCGTCGTCGTGGGCCTGGTCGTGGTCGTGGTCGTGGTGGTGGCGGTGGTGGTGGTCGTCGTCGTCGTCTTCCTGCTCCTCCTCCTTCTCCTCCTCCTCCTCCTCCTCCTCCTCCTCCTTACCTCGCCCCCACGCGGGCCCCAGGGGTGGTCCGAAGAAGCCCACCACAGCCACCCCCTTGCTTCCAAACATCTCTCTGTTCACACTGGTTGCCCGCTTAGTTTCACTATCTACTATCTGTGTGTGGTCTTTCATCCCTCTTCCCGCCAACTCTCATGGGTAACGTTTCTGAACGGGCTGGCGGGGATAATTACGCGAAGTGTGAAGAAGAGAGTGACTCCGTGTCGTCGGCCTCGCACGCCTTTTTCCATGCCGTCCTCGAGCTCGCTATTTTCGCTTCGACCGCCCGCCTGTCCAGAAGGGGCAAACACGGCACAGGCATAAAGCTTCGGAGCTCCGCACGGATTTCCTGGGGGCCCGAGCGCCGCCCCGAGACACCTGCGTGGAGCTCCGAACGTTCATGTCTATGTGCAAATCGTGTCTTCTTCGACTGGCTTGGCGTGCGCGCTTCCTTGCCTGAGGCCGCCCGCGCACTCCTCACGGTGTGGGCTCTCTACGCCCGAGGCCCCCGCCCCCCGCGCTCCCCCTCCGCACCGACGACGCCGAGCGCTCGAGCCCGACCTCGGAACGCCCCGGGAGGTCTTTGCGCTCCGAGGGCGCCGCGGCCGTCTCGCGGCCCTCCCCTAACTTCCCCTTTCGGACCGTCCCCCTCCCTCGTGCCCAATTCGCTCCCGACTCGCCGATGCTCCAAGCTTCGTGGTGACAGGGAGGGGGCCACAGCCCTCCCAGACCTCCCCCAGGCCAGCCGCGAAAGGGCGGCCTTTTTGCCCAGACCCAGCGGGTTCCTCCAAGACAGCTCAGACCAAACCCCTTCAAAAATCAGACGGGGGATACATGAAGGGAGGGGAAGGAGAAAGGTGCCCTTTCCGGGGCCTGCAGGCCCCCTTGGGGGCTTTATAGAGGGCCACTCTGGGGGCCCTGAAGGAACCCTGTTCTGCAGCCCTCGCTGCCCCCCCCATCTACCGCCCCCACATTTACGCGCCCCGCAAGGATCGGGGGTCGAGGATGGTCCGGGATGGCCCGGATCGAAGATGACCCAGGATCGGAGGATCGAGGACACAGGATCGAGGACCCCCTTTTGTTATGACATTCGAAGTCCGGTTGCCTGCTGGATCACGCTCGCCACCGATCCCACCAGTTTTTGCACGCAGTTCTTTGGCTCCGACGCGCCCGCTCGTCTGCGGGGCGCGAGCTGCGGTGGCAGCGCCACGAGGCGGCGCGTGCGGCCGCGGCGGGCCTCGCCGACAGGACCGAGGACAGGCGACGCCACCACCACCGGGCACCACCGGCGGGAGGAGCCAGGGGCCCCCCCTTCCCGCTCGAGACATACCCTGCTCCCCGCACGGGCATCGCGGAAATCCGGAAGTCTCCGCACAAGGTTTTTTTTCTGAATTGGGTCACGGGGTCACCGGGTCACAACTGAGTCGCAGGGTCACGGGGTCACCGGGTCACGGGGTCACCGGGTCACCAGGTCACCGGGTCACCGGGTCACCGGGCCACCGACCCAATTCAAAAAAACCTCTAGTTCACATCCACTCGGACCTCCACGCCAGAGGTGGCTCCCATGGTGGTGGTCGCGGTGTCGCTTCTCCTTCCCCCGGCGCCGGCCCCCAAGACGGCCTCAGCGCCCAGCTGCCCTCAGCGCCTGCTTCTTCTCGGCGAACGCGGCCCCGTCCGGCCGCGCCCTCCAGGAGCGCGAAGAGCTTGAGGGGGGCGCCTGCAGAGGAGCGAAGAGCGGTATAAGCATGAACTGCAGCGCGGAATTTACGTATCCAACACCACCGCCTGGGGGAATTCGTTCCTAAGGGACCTCGGCAGGCGCCGTGGATGTGGATGTCGCCCCCCCCTCACAGCCCGAATGTGTCCACATCCACCGCCTGCCGAGGTCCCCGAAGAGCGATCCCACAGGTGGTAGATGTGGATAACCCCCCCCCGCCTCAGGTAAACTTTCGGAGCTCCACGCGGATTTCCTGGATCAGCGCTGGACCCCCCCTCCCTGGCGCGCGGAGCACGCAGAGGGCGGCGCCGGAGGCGCCGCCAGGGGGGCCTGGGCGCAGACCCAGGAGATTCGCGCGGAGCTCCGCAAGTTGTTGCTTACCGAGGAGGCAGGTGTTTCTCCTTCGAGCCTGCTTGCCGCTGAGGACCTTCTGCGCAGCTTCCGGCTGCCCGAGCCTCTCGTACGCGCCCGCCGCCGTCGCGCGCAGGGCCGCGTCGGGAAGCAGGCCGCAGCGCAGGGCGGCCTCGAAAGCGCGGACGGCGTCGGCAGGCCTGCCCTCCCTCACGCACATGCCGACAAGCAGGGCAGCGGTGCTGGGCTCGGGGGCGAGCCCCCTCTCCACCATGGCGTCGAAGTGCTCGAGGGCCTTCTCCGGGAGCTGGCCCCTCTCGCACGCGCTGATCACCGCGCAGTACGTCACGGCATCCGGCGCAATCCCCCGCTGCTGCATCTCGGCGAAGTGCTCCAGAGCGACAGCCGCCCTGCGGCCTTTTGCCAGCGCCGAGATCAGCGCGTTATAGGTCACCACGTCGGGCGCGATGCCCCGCCTCTCCATGTCCTCGAATGTCCTTAGAGGAAGAAACAACAACATGCACATCAACTTTTGCAGGTCCGACCGGATTTCTTGGATCTGCGGTGAACCCTCTCTCTGGCGTGCGGAGCGCGCCAGGGGTGGCGCCAGAGGCGCCGCCATCGGGGACCCAGGCGCCGACCCCAGCTTCGAGTCCTGAGGGCGTTCTCCGCCTGCCCGCCCTTGTCGAAGGCGCTGATCAGGGCGTTGCAGGTGATGACGTTGGGCACGAGGCCGCGCTCCTCCATGCACTCGAACAGCTGCAGAGCCTTCTCTGGCATGCGGCCCTTGGCGCAGGCGCTGATGAGGGCGCTGTAGGTGATGACGTCGGGGGCAAGGCCCTGCCGCTGCATGGCTGGAGGAAGAAGCATCGGCATCACCATAAACTTTCGGAGCTCCGCGCGGACTTCTTTGGATCTGCGCTGGCCTCCCCGGCGGCGCCTCTGGCGCCGTGCCTGGCGCGCTCCGCGTGCCAGGGAGGGGGGCCCAGCGCCGATCCTAGACACCCGCGCGGACCTCCGACAGTTTGTGCTGGTGCCGCTCTTCCCTCCCCGATGGTGGCAGAGAGCTCCAGGGCCTTCTCTGGCCTGCCTCCTTTCTCGCACGCGCTGATGAGGGCGTTGAACGTGATCACGTCGGGCGCGAGGCCCCTCTCCTGCATGGACGCGAACACCTGCAACGCGCGGTCGGTCTGCCACCCCTTCTCGCAAGCGCTGATCAGCGCGTTGTAGGTGACCGTGTCGGGCTTCACGCCGAGCCGCTGCATCCTCTCCCGCAAGGCTTCGGGCTGCGCAAGAGGCATCCCCCCAGGTGATCCTGGCTGGCCTCGACAGGCCTCCCGAGCAGTCGTGGCGGTCTCCACTCACACCCTCACCCTAGGGCGAGGAGCGCCCCAGGGGCGCCGCCTGAGGCGCCGCCAAGGTGTTTGAGACCGCCCCAGACTACTCGGGAGGCCTGCTGAGACCAGCTTGGACTGCCTGTGGGCCTGCCTCTGCGCCACCCGCAGCCGTTGCCGGTCCTCTCGTACAGCTGCAGCGCCCTCTCCGGCTGCCGCCCCTTCTCGCACGCGCTGATCAGCGAGTTGAAGGTGATGATGTCCGGGGTGAGCCCGCAGGCCTGCATCTCGTCGAAGAGCTCGATGGCCCTGTCGCCGAGGCGCCCCTTCTCGCACACGCTGATCATGGTGCTGAAGGTGATCACGTCGGGCTCCTGGATCAGGGCACGAGCATCTCAAAGATGAACTTTCGGAGGTCGGCGCGGATGTGTCGGACCTGCGCCGGACCCCCCTCCCTGGCGCGCGGAGCGTGCCAGGGGCGGCGCCTGAGGCCGCAGAGCCCAGAATCGAATCGACAAGTCAGATCGGCGATCGAAATTAATTGGATCGGCGGACATTAGCAGCCAAGTCGGGAGAAGCCGACTCGGCGGAAATCGGCAAGCCAGTCAGGCCTCCACTGAGAAGCGGAAGCCCGAATCGGAATCCGAAGCCGAACCGAATCGGAATCGAAACTGGAAACGATCGAAATCGAATCGAATCGAGCCGGAGAAATCGAGATGAGGCCTGCCTGAAGCGCCGCCGTGGGTCCAGCGCCGATCCGTGACATCCGCGCGGATCTCCGCGAAGCTATTGACGTCAGGTCGGGCCTGTCCCCCGGACGGAAAATAAACATACCCAACAATTATCTCCAAATGGCCAAAGGTAATAAAAAAATCGTTCCCCTACAACTTCTTGACTACTGTAGGATGCTCCTCCTGTAGAGGGACGTGCCCGACCTCACGTTCACGGTCGGGAGCTGCCTTTGCTCCACGCGCTCGCGACGGCAGGAGGCCCCGCGGGACCTTCCAAAAGAGCCTCAATAGGGCCCCCAATGAAGGGAAATTGGGACACACAAATAAGTACACACAAATAACCAGATTCCCCATATTTTCCCATATTTTCTGGATTTTTGTCTTCCCCCCCACTTCCCATATTTTCCCATATTTTCTGGGAATCGACGATTAATTGTGTCTGTGTGTTTCTTTCCCTCCAGACCCAAGGGGTTCCCCAAGGGCCCCTCGGGGAGGCTCCAAGATAGGCGGCGAGCGAGAGGGGGGGAGTGAGAAAGGGCGGGCCTTCTCAGAAGGCTCGGACGTCCCTGGGCCTTCTGAGAAGTTTTTGTTCCTAAAAAACCTCGAGCCCCGAGAACTGGCGGCGCGACACGCTGAGCAAAAGCTCCTGACCGTGTATTTGTTCCTCTCCGTCGAGCTCCAGGCCCCGTCTCTTCATGTCCTCAAAGAGCTCCAGCGCCCTCTCGGGCTGCCGGCTCTTCTCGCACGCGCTGATCATGACGTTGTAGGTGATCACGTTGGGCGCGAGGCCCCTGGCCTGAGATGCCCTGCCCTCCCTGCTCTTCCTCGCCTGCTTCGGTGCCGTCGCATTGCGCCGCTTCCTCGACGTGGGCATGGATTGAGGCTCGCCTGTCCTGCCTGGGCCACGCTGTCGCCAGTGAGCGCGAATCAGTGAGGGTAGCCTTTGGTCGGGGATGGACAGACCTCCCTTTAGTAAAACGTGGTTTAGTGAAAACGACCTGAGGCCCAAACCTGGCGGGCGCAAGCCTGGAAAATCACGGCCGCGGCGCCCTCTCGAGAGCCGAAAACGGACAATTCACTAATCGACGTGTCACTGTTGGGGGTTCTGTCCGCCCCCGATTTGGGGGGCCCTACGGGCCCCCTTCTGGGCCCTCGAGGGCCCCTTCGGGGGCCCCTCCCCCCCCCCCCCCTTGCATCGCCGCGCAGCGCCACGTGAGCGCTCTTGTCCCGGCTGGTGTGCAGCGGGTGGGCCCAGGGCCCTGCCCCGTCTGCTGACACCACGCGCGCGCTTCGGGCGCGGTTGGTGTTGGGCACGCGGGGCTCCATCTTCCCTTCTCGAGGCGTCGCTTCCTGCTGCCCTCCCTCCCGCGCTGGGCAATGGCCCAAGGATCAGGGATCGAGCCGGGCTGATAGGTCCTCGTGGTCCGTCGTCGTGTCGGACTGGCACCGCGAAGAGTTCCACTCCCATCCTGCCTACCATCGCCTGCACGGATTTGAATCAGGCCTTTCGGCGGCTGAACGGGCTCGGGAGTGCAAGAGAGCTTTCAAAGAGGCCAGAGCCGACGGTTTTTGGCCCCTCGAGGACGGCGACTAGTCTAGACGCCGCTGCCGCGTTGCGGCTAAGTGGATCACCTATGCACAATTTCCTATTTCCCAATTCGTCCCTGCTCACCTCACCCTCGCCGGCTCCAATGACTCCCCAGGCCCCAGCCCGGGAGAGTGGAGACAGCGGATCAAGCCAGAGAGCGTACGGGCGAAGGGGAGGAGACAAGGGCCGACTGGACGGCTTCACGAACCGCGTTCGGTAGTGCCCGTGCCCTCACCGATGCTTCTCACCTACTCGTCGTCGTACTCAGGCCTCCCTTCTTCGAGGTTCATTTCTTCTGGGTTCATTGTTTTGTTTTGTTTTGTTGTTGAATTCTCATTTCTGAAGAATAATTATTGTTGATCCCCCCCCACTGGTGCATACTGCTTTTTCTCAATCAAAGTGTGTCCCTCGACGCTCGCACCCTGTTTTTTGACAAAGAAAATCTTCCTGCTCAAACTGGCCCCCTGGCCCCCGGGTTACAACAACAACGGCTCCCGCCTGAGACTTCCTCACAATTTATCCAGGACCCCCGCTCCCGCCCGAGACTTCCTCGCATTTTATTCAGGAATCGCGCTCTCGCTTGGGACTTCCTTACAAATTATTCAGGAATCGCCCTCCCGGCGCTCTGGAGTCGCGCTCTCGCTAAAGACTTGCTTGCAACTTACTGAAGAATGGCCTTGCGTGGGAATTTCTTGCAATTTGCCCAAGCGCCGCGCTCCCGACACCCAGGCACCCAGGAGTCGCGCCCATTGTGGCCCCATGTGCATGCCCTTCGTGGCCCCGCTGTCGCCATTTGTGTCCCCCTCACTGTCCAACGTGGCCCAGTTGCTACCCTCAGTGGTCCCATAGTTGCCTTCTGTGGCCCCGCATTATCTTCACTTTGTGGCCCCCGCTCGTTCGCGCTCTTCGTGGCCCCATACGCATTCCCTTCGTGTCCCCGCTGTCGCCCTTCGTGGCCTACCTCGTGCCCTTCGTGGCCCTGCTGTCGTTCTCTCTTGCTCTCGCTTTCGCTCGTCGTCGCCGTCGTCGTCGTCGTCGCCGTCGTCTTCGACGTCGTCGTCGTCGTCGTCGTCGTCGTCGTCGTCGTCGTGGTCGGTCCCCTGTCCGTCCCTCTTGGGGTCGGGTCGACGGTCCGCGGCCGCCCCGCCGATCAGCGCTGCCGCTGGCCAGGCCGACGGTCCGCGGCCGCCCCGCCGCTTGCCGGGGCCCGGCCTGCAGGGAAGAAAGGTATACCCCCCAAAAGGGGTTCGATCGAAGACGAAGAGGGCGGGTATCGAGGGTTTGGGAAATACGCGTTATTGGACACTCGAGCATATAAGGGCGAACAGTCTTAACATTGTTGTTGTTGTTGTTGTTGTTGTTGTTGTTTGCAATTTCGCGCCGCATATGACAGACAGTGCGTGCACACCCATCTGTACAACTCTGCGCGGGCCAGCGTTGAAGCCGCCGTCTCCCCACACATGCCCGCACACGCTGTATAACTGTTCGTGGCATGGCGTGGAGGAAGAGGGTTCCTCGTGGAAACGGGTCCTGGGCCCTTGGGTGTTCAGGACCGACGTTCCATCTCCGAGTCGTTTTGATGGCACTGGGCCCAGCGAAGGCCCCGAAAGCCTGAAAACGACGAGAAGCCTCCAGGACCCCTTTCTTTCCTCCCGAACCCCTTCTCTTCATCCGAGTAGGTCGTCATCGTCGTCGTCCTCCTCCTCCTTCTCCTCCTTCTCGTCGTCCTCCCACTCCGCCACCAGCACTGAGCAACGTAAACCGGAAAGGAGTGCCGGCTGGCAAGCCTGCATGGCGTCCAGCATGGACATGGCATTGTCAGGCTGGGCCCCCCTGGAGCACGCGCCGATGAGGGCATTGAAGGTTATGACGTCGGGGGTCACGTCCTCCTCGGCAGGGGCTCAGTGGCTGTACGGCAGCAACGGCTAAATCACCAATCGAAGGAATTGGTCGGGCTGCGGTGGGCCATGATTGGCGCGCGCGTCCCCTCCTCCGTCTCTCTCACTTCACCTCCCGCGCCGCAACCTCATTCTCGGAGGTCTTTGGATCTCTCTCCAGCTTCCTCGCTCTTTGGTCTTAGGGGGGAAGAGGAAGGATAATAAAGAAAGGGAGAGAGAAAGAGAGAGAGAGAGAGAGAGAGAGAGAAAAGAGAGAGAGAGAGAGAGACCAATATGGGGACAGAGAGTAAGCGGCGGGGGTTCGAGAGACGTCGAACAATATGCCATGACCGTCTTCGGCAAGGGGAGCGCTTTGATAATCGAAACGGTCATGTCTTGATGACATGGAGACGAGGAGTGGGAGCAATAGCAAGATGGGAGATGGGGGGGCAGGAGGGGGGGCAGGAGCGGGAGCAAGGCATGGGAAGCAGGGAGGAGGACCACGGCCCCGTGGTTAGACACGGGAACGCGGGGTTCCAACCGTCCTGGGTCCTCTTCCCCGCCGCCCCCACGCCGAAGGCTTTTTCCGTATACCGCCTCTGGTGCGTCCGTCGTCATCGTCGTGGTCATCGTCGTCGTCGTTGTCGTCGTCGTCTTTGTCGTCGTCGTCGTCGTCGACGTCGTCTTCATCGTCGTCTTCGTCGTCGTCGTCTTTGTCGTCGTCTTTGTCGTCTTTGTCGTCATTGTCATCGTCGTCGTCATCTCTGTTCTCCCTCCCCCTCTGGCTGTGGCTGCCCCTCCTCCCCGACAGGCCCAGAACCGGCGGAAACCTGTGCTCCTCTGGGATGTCGAGGCCGACGCGCCCCCCCGGAGGGAGTGAGGACCGCAGCTCCGCCCAGTCGCCGTTCCGCCCCTTCCTCCCTCCCCGTCCCCGACGCTGTGGTTTTTCTCAACACGTGGAGACCCATGAGGTTGACGTGGGCCAACTCTCCTGGACCGGATTTTCACCCTGAGCCGATCTCTGACTGCCCCGGGGCCGATTTATAAAAGGGCACCCCGATACCGAGAACTGCCCCACGCCGTGCGTCGTGATTTCTGTCCGACGACGCGCGGATGCCAACGTCGCGCTGCTGTCTTGGGCGTCTCAAAGCGGTGTGGTGACGGATCGTGCGGTGACCTCGCGGAACCCCCAAAAACCTCACCGCACGGTCCGTCACCAAACCGTTTCGGGACCCTGGAGGCCCTGATCGCCCGAGACATTGTCGGAAAACGACCCGCGTCCCGAAATAGTACGGTCACCCCGGATCCCCACCGTCTCACCACACAGTGTGGTCACCGCACCGTTTGGGGCCCCCGCCATGTCCTTCTGCATCAGCTCGAAAAAGTACATGGCCCTGTCCGGCTGCCTGCGCTGGGGGCTCCGCTTCGGGCGCGCGGCGGGCTTGCAGAGCAACTACAGGGCGGGACCACCTCAGGGGGGATTGAACATCGAGCTTGAATCGGCGATACATCACCGATGGGCCAGCGATCGGCGATTACTAAGGCCTCCGATGGCGAAACCGCGCGCTCCTCGTCGGTGGGGTGGGCTATCAAGCCCCTATATCGGCGATGAATGGGCGACTGGGGGTCCATGCCACCCCGCCTGAGCCTATCTCCTCGTGGTTTTCGGGCCAAAACTCGTGCCGGCCAGTTGGGACGATCCGGGCACCCTGAGACCCGGCGAGGCGCAGCCGCTGGAAGGCACCCCGAGGCTGAAGACCGCCGAAGATCGACGAGGACGTCGAAAAGTGTCTAACCTCGAACCTCGAAACTTCGTGGCGCCAAGGAGCGGTGCCCGCCGTCGCCCCCCGTGAGCCTATTGCTAAAGGGGCCCAGGGACACACAAATAAATACACACAAATAACAGGAATCCCCCTGTTTTCCTATATTTTCTGGGTTCTCGTCTCCCCCCCACTTCCCATATTTTCCCGTATCTTCCTGGGAGTCGACGATTCATGGTGTCTGTGTGTTCTTGCCCCTCCTGACTTGGCCCCGACGTTGCCCCTGAAGTGGCCGCGGGCAGCGAAAGGCCACGGTGCGGTGTCGGCAGGGGGCGCGGCGTTGCCCCCCCCCCCCCCCCGCTTGCCGCGCGGGTCTCGGAGGGCCCACCCCAACTCGGGGGGAGGAGGAGGAGGAGGAGAGGAGGAGGAGGAGTGGAGGAGGAGGAGGAGGGAGGAGGAGGCGGAGGAGGAGGCGGAGGAGGAGGAGGAGGAGGAGGAGGAGGGGGAGGAGGAGGAGGAGGAGGAGGAGGAGGAGGAGGAGGAGGGGAGGAGGGGGAGGGAGGAGGAGGGAGGAGGAGGAGGAGGAGGAGGAGGAGGAGGGAGGAGGAGGAGGAGGAGGAGGAGGAGGAGGAGGAGGAGGAGGAGGAGGAGGAGGAGGAAGTGGGGCGCGCAAGCATGGATTAGCGATCCATGGATTTGGCGCGCGGTCGCCAAATCCATGGATCGGGGGAGGTGCCCTCCCCAGGATGCGGCCGGTGCCGCCTCGTTCGGCGGCGGAAATCCGCGATTTCCCATGGAAACGGGACCTGTCGCTAATTCACGCCCCCTTAATCCATATTTGCGATCGCCTGACTGGTGGGGATGGGGATCGGTGAAACGATACTGACGGGTGGGCCATTTCCATCTTTTCCCGTATGTTCTCGGCTCTGGCTTCGGCCGTGACTCACTCCGAGGCGTCCTCATGCCGGCTCGCCCGAGTCGGCTTGCCGCTCGCATGGGACCCCCCCTCCCGTTCCAACCCTGCTTCGGATGATAAGACAACACTTATCACAAACAACATCAACATAAACTTTTGGAGCGGAGAAGCCACAAAGGGAGTCTGGCGCCGCCGATCCAAGAGATTCTCGCGAACCTCCGACAGATAATGCCTAAGGTGCTTCTTTCTTATTCTACTGCTCCTGATCCCCCTCCTCTTCCTCCTCATCACCCCGGTCCTCCCCACCCCTCCCCTCCCCCTCCGTCCCCGTGGCGCCAATAGGGCCGGAAGCCTACCCCCAGAGGTTGAGAGCGAGCGCAGACGAGGGCCCTGGGAGGGGCCCTGCAAGGAATCGCACGGTGAGCAGAAGCAGGTCGGGAGACCCCGGGCTCCGAGGCATCTCCGAATGACAACGCCCGCCTGCTCGGACCTTCCGCCGCGAAGCCCGAGGACTCCTGTGCCGAGGCCGATGCTGAGTCGATGAGACACCATACCCACTACCTATACGACCACACTTCGGGTGATAAGGAGGTTGAGGGGGGAGCCAACTGATGACAACTGCGATGATGATGAGGATGACGACGATGACGACCATGACGGCGATGACGATAACGATGACGACGATGATGGTGATGATAATGGTAATGAATAGGATGATGATACTGATAATGATGAAACTGCTGATGATGATGATGATGATGATGATGATGGTGGTGGTGATAATGATGACGGTACAAATGACGATGATGACGACGACGATGATGATGCTGCTGATGGTGATGATGATGCTGATGATGATGATGATAATGATAATGATGATGCGGAGGAGCATGACGCTTATGAGGATGCTGCTGATGCTGCTGATGATGAGGATGATGATGAGGATGATGATGGTGAAGAAGAAGAAGAAGAAGAAGAACAATAATAATAAGAAAATCATGACGACGATGACGATGCTGGTGATGCGCCCGTGAACTGGTGACAATGCATGATGGAGATGCTGGTGACGATGCATGATGGCGATTGTGGTGGTGACGGTGCATGGCGACGATACTGGTGATGACCACCGGAACACCATCATGACACCATCAGGACACCATGAACAATGTGGACACCATCGGGGCACCACGTGGACACCAGGGGACACTGTCGGGACAACCCCAAGCCACTGCCAACCAGCCGGCGGGACACCCCCGTGCCACCGCTGGCCAACCAGGGGGGGGGGGAAACTTGGGCCTGTTTCGCCCTGGCATCGGCGAGTTCATTCCGCTCGCCCGCCCACGAAACTTCGCCTCAAACCGAAACCAACATCCCTGTGGGGGGTTTCCGACTCACTTCGATCTCACCCCCCAACCTCCGACCCCGTTCTCGGATGACCCCAATGCGTGGCGGGTTCCGGAATCCATGACTCCCTCGAACGTGGCATTTCTTGTTTTCTTGGGGGTGGGGAGGAGGAGGAGGAGGAGGAGGAGGAGGAGGAGGAGGAGGAGGAGGAGGAGGAGGAGGAGGAGGAGGAGGAGTAGCTAGGAGCGAGGAGCGTAGACACGGTTGCAAGACATGCGCTGGGTTGCACTGGCGCCGCATCCCGAGGCAGCTTCTGAGTTGGCGGCGCGCGCAAGGGGGTGGAGGGAGGGGGGAGAAGGCTTCGTAGAAGGAGGCTGCTTCTTGCAAGGTGAGGGCCTTGCATCTACAGACAAGGCCTGCGCCTTCTATGAAGCAGCCTCCTTCTAGGAAGCCTTCCCCCCTCTCCCATACCATCCTGTGCGCGCCGCGCATGCTGGCATCCCCCGGCTGGCCAGCCGCCTGCCCTTCGAGCACGCGCTGATCAGGGCGTTATAGGTCACCGCGTCGGGCTTCAGGCCGCGATCCTGGGCGGGCGCGAGAAGGAAGAAACCCTCGCAAGAAGCCCAGCCCTGAAAACCCGCGCGGGAGCTGCACCTCAGGAGGAAACCCGGAGCACCCTGCAACAGCTTCTTCAACGGCCGCGGGAAGTCACCGCGCAGCGCGTGGAGCGTAGAAACCCGGGGTACCCTGACGAAAAGCATCTGGCTTCTTGATGCGCGCCCCCACTGTGCCATCCAAAATGTGCTCCTGTCCTGGACCACACGCGAGTCAACCTGATTCGACGTGCTGGATCGGTGTCGCTCGCCCCGAGGGGGATTCTTCCCGCGGCCCCGCTGGGGGACACCACTGGCTGACGGATGGACGGCCGAAGACGATGGAGGAGGAAGAGGAGGTGGATGATCGAAAAGGAAGAAGAGCGCGAGGGTGAGCGGGCCAAGTCAATCTCTATCAACTCACTGTGCGCTTTCCGACCGCGAATGGCCATCCAGATCAGGAGAACGTACCTGATTGGGACTTGCAGGGTGCAAGCGTGTAACTATCTGCCCGGGGCCGTGGGACCAGAAACACTGCGGCCAAGTCGCACTGAGGATAGACGGGGGACGCGAGGAAGATGAGGAAGTCTTTTGTTTGTTTCGCACGCAGGCGCGTTTGCTTATAAGATCGTCTGGCGTGTAGTCGCTGGCACAAGCGAAAACTGCTGTCAGACGAGGATGCGCCTGTTCAGCTGGATGTTGGCTATTAGCCGAGAGGCGGCTCGGAAGATTACGTAGGTGTCCAGGGAGGGAGGAGGAGGGGGAGGGGGGAGGAGGAGGAGGAGGGGGAAGGAGGAGGGAGGGGGTGGGGGGGAGGAGGAGGGAGAAAAGGGACCCAGGCATCCGACGTAGCGCTTTCCTCACAGCGTGAAACTCCCGAGGTCTAGATCCCCTTCCCCGCGCATGGCTTCTCAACCCGAGTACTTGTTTGACGGCCCCGGCCCCTGTAGGGGTGTCCCCCTATAGGGGCATTTTGGAGGAAAAATAAAATAGTCAAAAATATTCAAAAATGCTCAAGCATAGTCGAAAAATCGTCCCTATAATATTCTTAAAACTATTTTTGAATCCCACCAGCCCTTTAGGGCGTGAGTGGTTTAGAGAGCCCCCTCTGTCCTCAACCCCCCTTCTTCCC